CTGTGGAATTGTAGGGTTTACGGTGGTAGTAGAATGTGGATACGAGAACTAGAAGGGAAAAAGGATACGACAATGGGTCTACTCTGCAATAAAATTAGCCATGCTGACTCTATTTACAAATATTTAAATGAGGTCTTAAGAATGCGGAGATTGATGCTGGAGGAAGATAATCTGACCATTAACAGAACTAACACAACTAATGCAAATATTAAATACGTATAATAAATTGTATTATAATTAAAATTTGATGAGACTAGGTATTTACGGACTCGTTTTACTACTCCAAAACCTGTAATAACTTGTAATTCTATGAGCCTTGTACGAATTTCAGAATAAATTATTATTATATTATTATTATTAACTTTTGCAGCTTTAAAGGACTGAGGCAATATACATTTGTTAATAAAGAACATAAAAAACATTGATAAATAAACACTAAGTGTTTCCCTACATTTTTAATAACAGAGATCGGTGGCATTTTAACATCTCTAGGTTGCTTATTTTTCATTTTTGAAATACATGCTTCAATCTCATCATCCTTAATTTCACACGGCAAAAATATCAGAATTACTACTTTTTGAATAATCATGGTTTTGACAATAGTTTTCAATCATCTCATTCATTTCATCATCATTACTTGTAATAAAATTATCATTCACTTCAAAACATTCAGCAAGATGATCATTCATCACCACTTTGTCATAGGTACATACGTCATTTATAACTAAAGAGTTAATTGGTTGCAAATCCTTCTTTGTACAACTAGTTAATTCATCAACACATTTCCACATACTCTTAGTACCAATAACATTCTTTGACGAGTTTGTCGTGCTGTTGCATGAGTATTTGATTTAAAATGACGAGAACATCTTCAAATACACCACACGGAGCAAAATATTTGGCTCCGTCTACAACCAAAATGGTGACATTGTTACCAAACGCAATAAGGAAATTTTGCTGCATCCTTGAAAAATGCATACGAGAGCCGGATTTTGGAGATATTAGGGTGTCCCAACTTTGTAAAAGTAACTTGGAAAAAAAATTGCCTTTTCCGCTCACGATTTTTTCGCTCTTTTTGTAAACCGCACTGCGATGCGATTCCGATCTTTTTTCCGCTTTTTCTGCTCAAAAATAAAATCTACTTTAAGATGATTTTTTCGCTCTTTTTACTACTTTGAGTGAAAAATCAGTCTCTCAGAGACATGTTTAAGGGGACATCACCCGATTTTGATGCCCTATGGAATATATTGCAATAGCAGGTGAGTGTATGAAAAGTGAAGGAGGATTTTACTCCATGGCCCCACCTGCGCCCGCCACACCCTCTGAAAAAAAGCGTTGCGACCACTAAAACTACCGCATTCAAACATTTGCCAAAAATCCTATTTTCATCCCATTTTGGTAATTTGTGGATTTACGTGATCTTAGATAGTTGTTTTACCATATCCAACATGAGGCAAATTTAAATTTTAAAAGAAACTCCAAAATTTCCTGACCACCCATTCTCTGCTCCTCCGTATTCAAGCGATAAAAAATCGGGACAGTCAAGTATTGAGCGAAAAAAGCGGATTTCAGATTTTTTGGCTTTTCGCTTTTTTAGATCTTTTTTACAAACTTCGGAGACCCTATTGATTCCTCCGAGGTTGCTCCGCGACTGTATAGTTTCGGGCAGGGCCGGAGAGAATGGTTGTTCCGGGGTCGTCCTGGCTGGGACGAGTATCACGCGTCCCAAAATTTCAAATGTAATATCAAATTAATTCGGTCCCTAAATTGGTTAAAAGACAGATTGCAGCTTTTGTAGATATTTAAATTCTTACGCCACTCAAATATGCTTTCATATTGAACGTTTCCGGGAATTCGGCGAAAAGTTTCCCAATTATGAAAAACTTGAAAAATTTACAAAGGTGTTTTTACCCTTAGAATTAAATCATGTTTGGGATAAAGTTATGGATGTTTCGTTAAATAAGAAATAAGTTATGCTAAGAATATAAACATGTTTAACTTGTTTATATTGTTGCTTGTTTCAGTTTTGACTTATGAGAACACATTTGATAATAATAATTGATTGCAGCTCATTAAATGAGCTACAGAATTATTACTAATAGTAATAATTCCGTAAGGTTTTACTTGTGTACATATGCACGTAAATTGCATATGTATCTACATATTTACGTATATAGATGCATACTTGTATAAATGTACCATCATTTTTTTGCAAATGTTATCAATTCATATGCACGTACAGAATCAATCTACATAGTTATTTCCCTTATTTATGAAATTTCACAATTTGGTTTCCCCAGTTTTCTCGGGAGATTTTTTACGGGCTGGGAATATAGCGTGAGACCGAAAGTTGGGTATTTTTTTTAAATTATGCATACTTTTTATTGCACAATTATGCTGCCGGATGCTATTAGCTTTATTATGTTGAATAATCATGTGCATAATTCTGCTAATCCTTAGTTTTGCACAAAGATAAAGTTTTTCTGCTGAAAATCGAGGCAAATTTCTGCATGAAGGCGGTTCAAATTTTTAGTCGTGCTTAGCACCAAGATGATTTTTATATCTGAGACGTCTTCAGGATGACCATACTTTTTTCTGCACGGCCGTTGGCTGTTTTATTTGTTGATTTATATTTTCTATTTCTTCCAAATTTCGCATAAACCGAGTAGCTCCTCGTTATACATATTATTCGTAAAAAAATCAAGACAATAAAGTTACGAATTTTATAATGAAAATGAGTTACGGATCAAACATAAAGTATGTACTCATGGATTTTAAGATGATTACTTATAACCCATTCATCTCTGAGTTGAAATCCCATGATGTATAAATAAGCACGTTCATATATTTAGTATTGCATAAATGTATTAAAAAAATTTTGTGTGTAAAAAGATAATAAAAAATCTACATGCCAATACAACAAGATAAGTTCGAGATAAGTACTTAATATATGAGAAGCTTTGATCAATTTGGCATTTAATCCCACGGGTTTGGCAGCATTTTCCTGAATAGCACATAATTAGTACGAATATTTAAATATATGCATGTTCATATGTACATGTTTATCTTTATGACATCTGCTTCTCCATTTAACCAAGTTTTTACATTGATACACACTTTTGCACATACCGTAAAACCTCTATTTATAGCCGGCGCTAAAATCCAAAACTGAGGGTCACGGACCCGGCTAAAATTAGAGACCGGCTATAATTAGAGACCCGGCTAAATTTTGTTGCTCCAAAAATTTTAGATGTTACAAAATCAAATATAATTCATGTTGACTCAATTTGAGTTTTCTAATTTAGCAAGATATGCCATCACTGCCATAAGTAACCCATTCATTTTTAATCTACATCTTGAAACAAAGTTTAGCACGTTTTTTTAAATTTTCTGTCATGATTATATCCATTATTAACCTGAAATTAATAGGACAAAATTAGTAGTTCAACTTATTCGTTGATTGGCATAATGTGCAACATTTTTCTTTAATGGAATATGAACAGGGACACAGCGGACAAGACAGGTCATAATTAGAGACCCGGCTATAATTAGAGACCCGGCTAAAATTTTGAAATCTTGGTCACTAGACCCGGCTATATTTGGAGACCGGCTATAATTAGAAGAGGGCTATAAATAGAGGTTTTACGGTAATTTACATATGCAAGTAAGTGCTTGGATATTCCATAATTCTGCAATAACAAGACCTGAAATAAACATGATGTAGCCCGAGTTAGGTCGGAACAAAAGTGTGACGAATCATAAAATTCTTCACAAAAATTCTTAACTTCATTAAAATTCTTCACTTCTAAATTTTACAAAATTGTGATCAATTTTGATACGCATACGAAGCAATGATTTCAAAATTGAAAAGTTTTAGATTTCTGAGTTATATAAATTGGTAAATATGTACCAGACTTGTTTACATACATAAATACATACATAGGTCAACCATGCGTAGTATTTGGGTATCTTGGACACTTCAGTCAGGGATTTGAATGATAAAAGCAGCATGATATGTATGCATTTATGTATCTTGACGGACAGACACGACGAGCACACAAGTTCACACAGCCAAGCTTAAATTTTACACCAGGTAATTACGAAGATGTCTGATAACATGATAGTTAATTTATGTCTTTCCGTATTTCCAAGTAATTCCACTACAAAATAAGCCTTCGCCAACACTGATGGCTTCAATTGCTTTAAATATTTGGAATGATTTGTACAGTACAATTTAAGTTTTTTCTGTAAAGAAAATAAATTCCTGAAAATCACGATAGCATAAATTTTGAAAGTACTTGCATAAATACGACATGTTGGGAACATTGACCACATTTGTTTCGAAAATCGTTACGACACCGATTTCCTTTTCTACTCTGAAGAATGGGTAAGCACAATTAAATATGCAAAGTGTGACAATTATTTATTTTCTGAAGATGAACTGTTTAAAAGAAGTTGAAATTATCCATTTGAAAACAAAATTTTTCAGGGAATCATTTACACCAGAGGATGAGACCGAATTCCGTAAAGTGTTTCCTAAAGTGAGACAAGACTTGGCCGCAGTGTGCGAAAATTGTGGATTTATCGAGTCGACGGAGTGGTTTGGCAAGGTCTTAGATTACAATGTTCCACATGGAAAAGTACAGAGGTCAGAATTAAAAAATATATTTAACCATGCACGTGTCCCAAATGAAAAATGATCTCTCGGAAATTACATAAATACTTTTGAGTTAATGAAATAAATATTGCATAATTTTGATAAACTTATGAATGACGTGCAAATTTTTTAATTAGATAGTGTTTGCTCTAATAAGAAGACGAATGTCTTTTTGAAAAAATTTACGAATTTTGGATACATCGAATTTTCATGTGGGCTCATTCGCTACACATTACATTTATATTAATTTACTAGTAGATAATATAATTTATTCCCGAATTGAAGGGGACTTTTGATCGTGAATACGTTCAAGGCATTGACAAACAATCCTACTTCTGAGCAAATGAATTCTTCCCGGATTTTAGGATGGTGTGGTGAGCTGGTTAGTACATACATAGTGTTCTATTTATTTACAAGGTAGAAATTCTCAAATTTTCCTTCATGTCTGGGTTTTTGGTTTAATCTTGTCAAAATACGTCTATCTTGGTCTATCTTGGTCTGATCATCTCTCTCATGAAAAATCTGGCGTACAATTTAAATATTCGGATCACATTTTATACGTAATTTATTAAAATTATGGAAAGTACAAATTTGCACACTTTTGCATAGCTGCAAACCTGCTCCCTGATAGCGGACGACATGATGGATTCCTCCCCCCTGAGGAGGGGACGCCCATCCTGGTTCACTGTGGACGGGGTTGGCATGAACGCGATAAATGACGCCTTCTACCTGGAATCGTGTGCTTATCACCTGCTCAAAAAATATTTTGGGGGCACCGGATTTTACACAAAGTTGGTCGATGCGTTCCATGATATCACCTTGAAAACTGTTATCGGACAAAACCTTGATGTTCTGACGACTCAGAAGAAAATTTCGGAGGAAAGGTTAGCCCCTTGTGGTACTGGGATTTTGTATGGAAATAATTTTGGGACAAAGGCGACTTAAAAAATGTTGGGATCCCGACATGGTTAAAATTTGAAATGTGGTTGTCTACAAATTTGAAAAATCGAATTATAGGGAAAAATTTTGAACTCGATTCTATAATATTGGAACCTATCTAATCGGTGGTCTAAAATTTACCAAAATTATACTAATCAGAGATTTCATTTACATTTTTTGGGATAGGTTCCAAATGACTAATTTTTCCAAAATTGCCAAATACAAAACGGGTTATTACACATTCGTGTTGCCAATTCGACTTGGAGCGATACTCGCAGGTCTGGTGGATGGAAAACTTTTAAATCATATTGAAAATGTAGGGCTTCAGTTAGGCGAAATTTTCCAGGTAAGTTTTTACCACTTGCAAAAAATTATGGGATTCATGTACGTATCTATGCACTTGTGTCCTCCAACGAGGCAATTTATGTACGCAACCGTTGATAAGGAACGATCCATAAATTGCGTCACGTGAGAGAGGGGAGGGGGTCCAAAACTCCTATGATATCGTGACACATGTTAAAGGGGGGAGGGGGCCTAGAAAATCGCGATTTTTGCATGACATAATTTATGTATCTCCCTTGAGTTGTGTAAAATAATTTACCCAGCTGACAGTTTTCATTACCATAATATTATGAAACGGTTATGCTCCTTATTACCACTGCCGGCAGAGTCAGAGTCATATATGTCAATACTATACATACACCAGCCAGTAATGATTTAAAGAGGGCCAGTTTATTAAGACTGGGTTTACATTGTAGGCGCAGGATGACTTTTTGGACGTGTACGGCACCATGACGCAAACAGGAAAGAGGGGAACCGACATTGCGGAGGGGAAATGCACCTGGCTAATTTGCAAAGCGATGGAAATTGCGAATCCTGAACAAAGAGAAATTCTCATGAATACTTATGGAAAAAAGGACGAGGAAAGTGTGCAAATTGTGAGAACGATATTTGACGAGATAAGCTTGCCGTACCACTTCCACCAGTATCATGACGAAGTGATGCACAAAATAGGGGCAAATATTGCTGCCATTTCCGGAGATCATACCCAATTAAAAGCTATGTTGAATATTTTGGTGAAAAAGATGGAAATTGTGAAATCCTTAATTTTAGTAAACGTTTAGTAAATATTTTAAATTGCTGGAAAAAACTTTCATTCTTTCCGTAAAATCGTTAGGGTTCAAAATTTGGGAAGAATTTCCTACCTAAATTGACAAACGTTTACGCAAATATACAAACTGGTACGTAAATTAAGGGCGCTTTTTTAATTTTCGATATTAATTATGCGACATTTACGTACATACAAACATACTCTTCATCCACTTGAGTTTGAACCATGGCTAAATCTAGCTCCATAAGGAACCCCCGTTTTTAACATTGCTCAGTATTTAGCCACGGTTCAAACTCAAATGGATGAAGAGTATGTATCGTTTCAGATTACAAATCACTAATTAACGTTAATTGCATTATTATAAACGTTTATAATTTTGTAGGAAACAACTATAAATTAAGGAGTGCTTTATATTCCATTGAAATGGGTAGGTGCACGAAATATTCATTTATATTTGTCATGGTTTCAAATGAATACAAATACAAATCAACCAAGTTCGCGTATTTTACCACTTTATTGGGCATTTCTTACTAATTTATTGGGTGCGTTATGGTTAAGGCATTTAAATTAAAGACATTTTAGATTGTCTCTTGCTGATGAAGGGGAATTATATTGAAAAACGCGTTGCTTGGCGAATCAAACCTGGTCTTTGAAATCAATTGTAAATATTAACCTCTTTACACATTTCAAACGTATTTAATACAAAATTAACTGGTTCCCTAAAATAGTTAGAAGACAGATTACAACTTTACAAATTTAAATTATGGCGCCACTCAAACATACTTTCATCAATCCTCATCCAACCAAAACAACGCTCACCGTATTACTCAACATTGCAAAAAAATACTCTGTCCTAGCAGCTTTGTTACACTTGAATAATCTAGCCCCCATAACCTCCCCATAAATACAAAGTGGTTTCATGGAGAGAATCCTACGTTTCACGTACTTTACCTCCTTACTCTTCCCACTATAAAATTCACCCTTTCTCAAAAGAACTTTGGACTTTTCGTTCATGTACGAGAAGAGGATCAGGATCGTGGCCGGGACGATTATTCCCATCGCGGGGAAAACTATGATCATCGGCATGCGAATTTCGTTCCTTAATCGAATCCAGATATAATTGGCCACCACTGATCCTATGAAACCAAATGCCAATCCGAGCGACGTGAACGGCCCGGCCGTCAAGGATGACATCATGACACAAATTCGCAAGTTATCGTAATCCCGCAAATATTGGTCAACCCTTTGGCGGGTATTACTCGCTACCCGAAACACGGTTTTGTCCAGATAGTCGATACAGCTTAGGGCGAGGTGACCTTGTATGAGGTACATTGTTATGACGAAGCATAAAGTTCGACAGCACTGAGTTACCAGAATTATTAGCAAGGGTCGAATAATGTAATAACGAAGTTGTGACAGGGCTTCATTATGGGGCAAGATGTGTTTCATGAGCAAAATTATGGGATCCAATTCCACATCGAAGGCAATGTAGAGTGCGACAGAAAGCCAGGGACAGGAGGCAAGGGTGAGGAAGAAAGAGTTAAGATATATTCCTAAAAGATCCAACTTTCCGGGTGGGTCTGACTTTGACCGGGAACCTTGAAAACCACCTCGGTATTATTTTAATATTGGATTTCTAAGAGTATACGTACATGGTTATGAGCTTACTTGGAACCAGACTTTCCATTCGGATTAAATAGTTGCTGTAAAGTTGCATCTCGCCAGAATAAGTAATAAACAATAATTCCGCCACACTAATTAGCGTGGAGACCAGGAAAAATAGCACTGTTACGAGCATTTCGACAAATTCGAGTTTCCCAAAGCCACACTTGCTAGTTTGTGGATCGGCGCACCACTGGTTCGCAAAATATGCGCACCGAACCACACCGCGAGCCACACCCGGTGTGGATCGCGGTGTGGTGCGCTGGGTTTTCGACTTTCGCTGGTGTGGTTCGCGGTGTGGTGCGCTGGGTTTTAGGCTTTTGCTGGTGTGGTTCGCGGTGTGGTGCGCTAAGTTTAAGACTTGGCTGGTGTGGTTCGCGGTGTGGTGCGCTAAGTTTCCGACTTGGCCGGTGTGGTTCGCGGTGTGGTGCGCTGACCCAAACTAGCAAGTCTGCCCAAAGCCAAACGAATTTCCAAGAAATAGTATGAAACAGGCGAATGGCGCAGATCCAATGAGCATCACGGTGATCAAATAAAAAATCAACTTTGCCAATTTTGAATTCACGGTATACATATGTTTCGCGGGATCCCAGTCGAATAGCTGCGTCCAAAAATGCCCGTAGTATTTGGAACATCGGTCAAGCGACGACCACATTAGCGCTGTGACGACCATTTCTTCAAATTTGTAAGTATGTTTTGGCAACAATGAATTAAGGCCTTTCACGTGTGAAATTCCGATTCCTGTGGGATAAATTCTTCATATTTTGTTCAGTACAACAAATATGTAAGGATACTCGTATTTTTGGAATTTTCATACATACGGTAATTTGAGGCCGGGGGTGAATTTGAAACTGCTTTCTATGCTAAACTGCGAGCTTTCAAAAACCCGTAATTTCTCTGATTTTAGAGCCGATTAAAAAAATCGAAACCACGTTTCTTCAAAATTACGTAGTATGTGTAAAGTTGTACATAAATGCTTTTAGTTTCGAACAAAAATTTAACAAATTTGATGGAAAATAATACGCATTTATTTAGATACTTCCATGAAAGATTCCACGTTTAAGTGATAAGTAGGCAGCTGTTACACAAGTTTTTAACTGCTTACTTCTAATGTTTGCTTCTAATGTTTTTCATGGTGAATAAATACATACATAGACATGTATTTACGAGTTTAAGATTAAATACTTTTATACTTCTTCGTTCGTAAAGTTAATTTATTATGTATGAGAATATTCCTCTACTTGGCTATTAACCTATTTTACAGATAAATGTACCTACATATTTGAGTTAGTTACGTGCGATTAGAATTGACATTTATAGTTTGTCTAGTTACTTATATCATGACGGCATCATTTCTTTGCATCCTTCGTATTCTTGGTATCGTAGAGTAAATTAGAACACTCTTAAGAATCCGGTAAAGTCACGTAGGTAATGATTTCTCGGTAATAAATTTGGTAATGATGTTTTACCAGGTAGTAAAAATTCGTTACCATGATAGTAAAACTTTATTACCAAGCCAATACCACACGGTACAACTTGTCATTACCACTTAGGTAGAATCATATACTTGTGCTTTTCGGTAATGTCATATTCTCATGTTCATATAAATCAGAAAAATAAAACTTCAATTAAATTCACTTGTATGAAGAAATAATGAGTGCCCTCAATATTGCTTAGATTACTTTCTTTAAAGTTTAATATGCTAGGAACCAATTTATAAATCGATGATGCTTGGACAAAACAATATAAACTCGACATATGTACATATTTAGAATATTTAGTATATATATTTTTTTTTATTGAAGGGTAAGATATTGTTGACAAATACATGTATATATACATAGGTAAATATTGTTTTGAATATGTTGTAAAAATTGGCATGGCTACATATGGAGAAATCCATAAATTATGTCACGCAAAGAAGACCTTTTTCGGACCCCCCACTGCTGTTGTCACGCTCAGCATGACCCCTCCCCCTCTTGTCATGCCACGCCTGAAAATCTGCCAGTTATATGTTTGAAAATATATGTGCGTATGTACATATGTATGTCTGTCCATTGTAAGTACTTGCATACATATGTACATAAATATACGCACTTATTGATCTAGTCACATATGTACATACGTATGTATGTACATAAATTTCCAGGCGGGATTAAATTTCGCCATGACGTGAATTGAAAAGCAAGTAAATATGTAAACACACAATTTACACTGTGTGTAAAAAATTGGTGTGACAAAAGTTAAAAAATGACAATAAAGAAACAATTGTAACTAATTGTCAAATAACCAAAACCAATGTACAAACATATATTCTTGTTTTGTCACGCTTAAAAAAATTCTAATTTATTTACTTGACAATTTTGAATTATGTGTTAGACTCAAAATAGGGGTCTCCCAGAGTGTGCTCGCAGGTTTTTACCAAACTAGTGTCAATTTCTATTTTTGGGTAATTATTTAGGGGACATTTTTTCACCAATGGGAAATAAGTAAGTACTTAAAAAAAGCGTACATACATATGTCTATGTATGACGTCGTTATTCACAAAAAATAGCATATTTGTCTTACTATCAAATTTTTTTGTGCATGATTACACAGAATTTGTTAATGCCTACGTCACGTGCTTTTGGAACAATTATTTTTTCCCTTATATGTTTCCGCCTGGTGACAAAATGTTTAAAAAAAATAGAGCACTGTGACGATTTGTCTCCAAATTATTTAGAGTGTAGTCCACTTTACGAACAACCTATGCAATTTTTTTTTAAATTTTAGACTGGGACAATTTTGTAAGGCGCTGGTCGTTTAGCCTTTTTCCAAATGTAACAATGTACACATACACATACCTGTTCACATTCGTTCACTAAAGTGAGTTTGAATATTGAATACGTACGAATTATTCAAAATTTTTGAATTTTGAATGAATAAATATGCCCCATTCATTTATTGAATGAATATTGAATGAATAAATATGTCCCGGACATTTATTTAATGAATAATGAATGAATGAATAAAATTTTGAATGAATGAATTGAATAAGGGATGGCTGAATGTAATAAATGAATTGTGAATAAATTTGGCTCTCATTCACTTCACGTTGAAGTGAATGAGCCTGTGATGTCTCATTCATTCTTTATGATTGTGGTCGAAATTCTCATGCTTTATGTGCATCATCATTGCGTGCCGGGAACTTCGGTCGGAGCATGGTGGGAGCCAGTTCAATATTCCAACACATTTTACATTAAAACCCGTGTTCCCAAATTAAAAAAAAATCTTTCGAAAACTTTATACGGAGGGATTTAATTTTACAAGTTAACAATTGCAAACTAGAGTAGTTATGATATCACAAGTTAACCCTGGCGATGGCGAAGCTGTCCACACGGATCAAGAAATCGTCGACCTTGAGCATGACTCTGAGGGAGGTTCCAAGGAACCTAAACTCGTAAAACAACCAGGTTTTGAAAAGTTGTCGAAGTTCCGTTTCTTCTTTGAGAAGCAGTTCAGCTACCTTGGACATTCAATTGAGTCCCAGAAGTTCTTTTCAACTTGTAAAAAGTGCAGCGAAACTGGTAAAAAAAGCCGTGTTTACTCATTTGGTGCGAGCAACTTTAACGTAAACGGAAATCGTCATTATAGAGTACGTATAATAACTTTATATTCCTCCGTGCAATTTATTACGTAGTAATTAAATTCGTTAATTGTATCGACTATTTTTTGCAGAACTCACACAAAGATGTCTCTTTGGAAATTGAAATCCCACGAGAAAATCATAAGGTGAACGAGTTTTTTCACTCAAATCAAAACAAATATAATAAAAACGACCCAATACAATCAAAATTCAACTCGAATCTGCAAGATTTGGTCTCTGTTGATGGACTCCCTTTCAGTTTTGTTAATTGGCTAGGATTCAGGAACTTAGTATCTGACCTTAATCCACGAGTTATAGTTCCTGACCGAGTGACCTTGGCAAGAAAATTAGCAAACACGGTCAACAAGATTGTATGTAATTTTGACTTACTTAAATACACATAAAACTATAATACAACCTTTATGTATGCAATTTTCCCGCTTGTGCGAATTCCAGGTAAAACCTAAAATTAAAGATCCCCTTAACCACGTTCTGGATTACAATGTTCACATATCATCAGACATATGGACAAGTAGACAGGGTGACGGAATTATGGGACATGAATACCATTATATTCAAAAGGATGCGCAGAACCGAACATGGCAATTGGTGTCAAACGTCGTTTCAGCCGTGCAATTTAATGAACGCCACACCGGAGAAAATATAAAGCAAAAATTCCAGCAATCTCTGGATTCATTAGGAATTAGCACGACTAAGGTGAATAATAAGCATAAATATGCAATTTTATTAATGATAAATAAATAATAATAAATAAATAAATAATAAAACTCAGGTCGGTTATCTTGTGACTGATGGTGCTAGCAATATGGTTTGCGGCTTTAAGAATTGGATCGAGGAGACTGAAAATCTTGTGACGGATGAAGACGATTTAGCTATCGACCTTGAAGACGATTCACAACCGGAAGACTCTGATATTAGTGAGAGCTCTGAGGATGAAGAGGAAGAAAGTGATGCAAATGATCAAGTCAATGTAGCGACGCCAGATATTACAATTGGTGAAAAAGTTAGGATTTCTTGTTATGCACATACCTTGCAATTAGTGATCAAAGACGTCATTGAAAAAGGCGGTAGACCTAAAGAAGTTCTGGATTGTGCTTTCAAAATTGTAAAGTATTTCAGGCGGTCAAATTATTGGAGAAAGCGACTAAAAAAAGTTGTGGGGAAGGTGTTGATAATGCCAGCTGCTACTCGATGGAATTATATTTATTACGTTTTGGAACGCTTATGCCAAGTAATTTCAGATCAGTAATTTAAGGACAATAAATCATAATTTTAATTTACGATTAAAATTTTGGAATTTTGCAGCATAAAGTGTACGGTGAGCTTTGCAACCTAATAAGAGAAGCCAGCACTTGTTCAAAGAAGCCAAAAAATTTGCCTCCCACACCTAGCATTGAGCCTCAAGAAAAAATGATCGAAATAAAAAATCTCCTAAAGCCAATTTGTGACGCAACAAATATACTTCAAGGTGATGGGGTAACCAGTAGTTTGATTTACTACTCGATAGTCAATGCATTTAACGGTACGAATATGCGCAACATAATTTGCTGGGTTCCTTTGAATAAAATATGCTTAATTTATCCAGTTACCCAATTCAAGTTTTCTAAATTTGTAGAAATTGCTAAAACTCCTACTACACGATTCACTTGTATGAAAGCACAATTACTGGATGGACTGAAAAATCGATTCGAGAAGGCAATAAACAATGACCCCCACATTATCCTGAGTGCTTTGTTGGACCCTCGTCAAAAATCCGACGTGTTTAAAAGTAGGAACACATTTTAATCTTATTTGTAATACGTTTAATGTTGAACAATTTTTAGTCAAACCTGCCGTGTATGGAACCAGAAGCCTTGAAACTCCTTCAATTGACAAGGTCACTGATATGCTCAAGTCATATTGCAAGGAAGATCCTTCGGCTGAAGCAGCATTACACACATTTCCTGAAAACGAAGATAACGACGACGATCCATTTTCCATGCTGCCAAAAATTGTCAATTCGAGTACTACTATCGCTCATGAAGTATTTAGCTCAAATATTTAGCTCTACAAAGAGAACCGTCGAAATCCGATCCACTGGAATTTTGGGCTAAAAACGAAACCAGCTTTAAAGAATTGTCGAATTTGGCCAGTCAATATCTTGCAATTCCGGCATCCACGGGCAGTGTAGAGCGGCTTTTTTCTCTACTGGGATCATTTGGACGTTCAAGGAGATCAAGTCTGAACCCGAAGTCTTTGGAAAATTTAGTGCTTCACCGAGAATATCGTCGTCCGATTTTGATGAGAGCGCATCCAGCCATAAGTCTCTCAAACAAAAGGAAAATAAGTCTGGAGCCGGACAACAAGTGCAATAAGCGGAAAACATTGAGTACGCGAGCAATTTGTTTTATTATTTATATGAATTCTATTTTTAGTAGGAGGAAGAGTACACAAAGGTGGTAATATTCGATATTGATGCCGTTGGGTATTTTGTTCTATTTCGTTGAACGCAGAGCCCTCAGAAAATGTTCGAGATTATTAAATTGTCCGAAAATTTAAAAATATATTTTACATATGAGTATGATAAAGTAATCATCTAAGATCACCGGAGCTTAACATTGTGGGATAAAGGGGGACTTGTGCAAAATACGATTTTGCGGAATTTCCTCGCCTCAATGAAGATAATGAGAATGAAGAATTTTGAAAATCTATCCAAAATTGGATTTTTGAAGATTAGTGAAGGATTTGGTTCTGCAAGTTATTATACAAATCATCTCTTTGACTGGTGTGCCCTCCTCTTAAATGACAATGAAACCATAATATATTTGATCACATTTGACTATAATCAATTATATTTTGATTTTAATGTCAATTGCTAAGAATGGAATTCATCTAAACAATAAAACAAAATGGTACTAATTCGCTCAAAAATTAGTTATTAAGTAGATACCGTATATATTTGTAATACAAATATTAGAGTGGATATTACCGATTTTAGCACATAAATATTTCAAAAAGCCTCTACCTCTAAGAATCTTGGAAATTTTTGACTCAAATGCATTCATCATTACCTTGAAATTTATGTTAAATTTAAAGTTCGAGTTGCAAATTGTGAATACAAAAATAAATGAATAAACCGTCGCAAACGCATGTAGCTAAAGAGTGAAATAAGTGTCAAATATACGTCAAAATGAATATCATATTGCTTTTGCCACAACTTTTGGAACACTCAATTTCACTGTATTTCATCTTTAGATTCAATTTGAGTGAAAATCTCATTTTCCCCCAGACCACACCCCCCAGCGCCAGATGGTGTGGCACAACTCGGGAGCACTAAATTTTACTTATATGTATTTCATCCGTAGCTTCAATTTCTGAAAAAAACTCATTTTTCCCCGACCACACCCTCTGGCGCCAAAGGGGGTTGTCTTATTGGTCCTACAAGTTGATAGGATACTCCTCGGGTCCTATGCGTAATGTCGAAAACCGATGTCGATTATCTCGATCCGTTCTCCTGTTATCCTGTCTTCGCATAAAGTAGCTGAAGCTACTTAATAAATGAACGAATATTTGAATGAATAAATGAACGAATGTTTGAATTAATAAATGAATATTTGAATGAATAAATAAATATTTGAATAAATTAGTGAGTATTTTAGTGAATGAATAAATATGTTAATGAATGAATGAATATTTGAATGAATGTTGCCAATTGTCAATGAATATATATTGAATGAATGTTGTCTGCACTTCATGACAATGAATGAATATTTGAATGAATAATTTTTTGTTGAACACGTCTGCACATACATACATCTCTGAGAACACAATTTATACTACAATGAATAAATTTCCTACCTACATATGCAATAATGACGTTTCTAATATTTACCCTAATATTGCTCAACCTAAATATATTTCTACACCGAGATGACAGCTGCCTGTAAAAGTGACGGAGGTAACATTGACAGGACGTGTGTTACAGCCCAGTTTTTCTCTGAGATCCCTTGCATCTCTTCGGATTACACCAAATTCGATGCCAAGTGCAACAGCATGTCAACCTGCCTTGTACGGGCAATATTGAATTTCCACTTTTGCACTTGTCTTCATAATCCTCCCGGGGGTTTTAATTATACCATTTTGTGAATTGAAACATAAGCGTACAAAATTGGCAAAATGTGTATGTATATCAAATTGGTGTAACGCAAGTTACATCAAAGATGGCAATAAAGAAACACTTTTAAGTAATTGCCATGTAAGTAAAAACTATATGTTGTTTTATCACGAGAAAAATATACAATTTATTTATTTATGGCAAATCGCATTTGTGGGTCTCCGACCTCAAAATAGTTCTGAAAATATAGCGAGTTATATCAAAAATCAGCCGATAAGTTAGGAATCGAATATCCTGAAAAAAGTTTTTTTTAATAATAATATTTCTTCTGTTTTTTTTTGTGGAAAACTGGATCGTAAAAAGCGTATTTTCTTTCGACATTTTTCTCCTCAAGGTTCGGAATTTTCCCTTTACCGACCAATGTCAAAAAGTAGATTTTTCGTGTTTTCATAAAAAACTTGGCAACTGGGCTGAAAATTTTACTTGGTTGCTATCAGGTGTAATCAACATGGCAACATTGAATGAGGGAAATTTTATTTAGAAATTAGTAGTACGAAAGTTGTTTTTAAAGAAATAAAAGCAGACACACATAATCATAGACTATTTAGTATTGCTTAATTTGATTTATTTTATTTTAGTTTAGATTTATCCATTGCCATTAATCCTCAAGAATTCAAACTTTAAAATGAATTTGGTCATTGACCGGGGCAGGTGCACCTGTGCTCAATCCCAACCATTGCGACTGAACAGGTTGTTCCAAAGGCGCGGCAACTCGCGTCGAAAATGCCCGATTCCGGATTGATACAAATCACCGAATTGGCTAAGATTTCCCCACATGGAACTGGTGCTCCACCAGCCTCACCGCAGGCGTCTTCCAAGTCGGGACAGAAATCTAAAGAAATGTTAGAAAATATGTACATACATGCTACAAATACGTAAATAGACAGAACCACGCGTGAAATCTTTTTTTAGAAAAGGAAAATAAATAGGAAATAAAAGCATGTTTATTTTTAAAGTTTAACAAATTCTTGAATTTTGAATTTCTACCTAAATCCAAAACCTAATAAATTGAGGACTTGTACATGCATATTTAAATAAATATCATACTTTTTTTTAAAATTTTATCAACGTCGTGAAAGTCTATATATTTACTGCTAGAAATTTGGCGGGTATGTACATACAGTTAAATATGTACGTACGTATTGATTTCTCTGTATTAAAGTTGTTACCGCATGGTATTCAAATTACAAAAATTAAAATTTGATTTAATGTTACGGTACTGGGCTGTACAAGTTTGCTACCGATATGGTAAAACGGTAATATTTACATGTGCCTCTATTATTACTTGGTATTACTTATCAATGCCATTTTGGTAGTGTCATAAATCAAAACTGACGCTTAATAATGGATTTCAGATTTCTAAGAGTGTACTTTTATCAAAAGTACCGCTTTAGCTCCTCCCAAATTGGGGGCTGAAGGATAAATTTGTATTTTACTTCGTGGGCCTTGAGCTGCCGTTACGATGATCAGCGACATGGAAAAAATGACGACAAATCCGATTTTCATTGTGGCGGGATGCGGGAATCAAGTTTTTCCAGAAAATATTAAAACTGAAATTATGTAAATTTCCAAAGTTATATTAATTATGTCTTTATTTTCTTTAATATGTAAGATATATTTATGTATATGGGGACAAAGTCGGGACAAAAGATTAATGCACTTACTTGTTGGATGGATTGAAGATTTGGACTGATTTTCATATGCACATGAACCTCCTTCGTATACCCGGCCCATTGGATCAAATAAGAACTAGCAACTTATATTGTACCTTATTAGTTGTGAAAACAGGGCAAATTCTTCATTTTAGATACGTGCCATTATCTAGGCATTTCTAGCAGCATAATTAGGGGGTGCAAAGAAGCGAAATCCCTTTATGGAAATGTCTTGTCCGTCTGTGTGTATTTATCCACGATAACTTTAGAACGGATTCAAATTTAGATATGCAGTTTTCGCCAACGTGTTTCTAATTTTTGAAGTACGGACTTCGAACATGGGCATTGTAGATCAGAAGGTCACGTCACAGCCGTGATGACGTCAACGGTCAAAGGTATCAATTTTTTTTGTTTCAACCGTCTTAAACGTCGTTTTGAGTGGAGATTTCAAAAATCGACATGGTCACGACCGTGTTACCGGGTCGTTTCGTTTCACCCCTTTGCTACATTTCGTTTGCGACGGTTTATTTATGTTACATACGTGTCATTTTCTAGGCGTTTCTAGTATGTAGCACATGTAAAGTACATCTTTACCCGTGCAGTATTGTTTTTACTTGCACGCGTAAATTTATGCCAAGTAGGGTTTCGTCTGGTTAAAAGCCTAGTGTAAAATTCTAGCTCGATTACAAAAATTGGAAAATGATCGCAATATCGTTTCTTAATAAATCACGATAAATAAATATATACATATTTATTTTTATCGCCAATAAATGTAATTTGCATATTTTATACTGCGAATAACTCAGGTTTATGAATATCCTAGAACTGGAAGAAAATCAACCAGTTTATGGTGCGTATGGTACCCGACGATGTCAGCACTTTAATCGTAACTTACATATGCATAAAAATGTTAATATACTAACTAAGGAACGAAATGCATGCAAAGTTTAAATACAGAATCAATTTTGAAATACAGTATTAAAAATATGCAGACGCTTCAAGGTATGTAGTAGTAAAAGAAATTAGTTTACGATGGGCTACATTTTAAGTCCTGACCAAGCTCATTGTTAAGATAGAAAATATTTACCAGTCACCAGTGTTTGCCATGCAAAGAAATACAGCTGCAAAAAATTGTTTTTCTCAAATGTTACAAATTTTTTTGCAGGATGGCGAGAAATGCGATAACTACTGGTCATTCACTAGGTAAGTACTTACTTAAGTGCCATCGGACGATATGTATACATATTTATAGCGACTAAGAACATTTTAACGTTAAATCGAGCATAAACTTAATAAATTTCATTCATTCGCAATTCGTGTAATCAAAATTGAATAAATTTGTAAACAGATAAATTTGATAAAAATCGTGCACATTTGATTAACATTATTCCAAAATTTAATTGAACTTCATATTTTTTCGAATACTTACATATATATAAAATCTAAATATTTTGTATCTTGAAAACTTGTAATTAAAAGAAACATAATCAGTTTTCTTGCAAAATGATCATTCTTCTGACTCCAACCATTCCATCGGAGGAGCTTCGTCTTCTCCACGATCAACACGTTCCTGCTGGGTGGCAATTCTTTGCCTGAATTCCGCCTGGTGTACCGGGTTCGGAAATATTTTCAGTAAATCTGTCGAAAGATCTTCTCGAACAAATGTGCAGATCGGACAATCCGGATCGACGCAGTGTTTCCAGTGACCCAAAACCTGAAAGGACGCGGAGCAATAATTGTACGTGCAGTCTCGACGCGCTTCGCAGGAACGCATATGAACCTGAACGGTCTTCATGCGTTCACAGCCACGAGTCGTGCAGGGCTGCATGAATAAATATGTACATTAATAGTTACAAACGGAATGTAACAAAGGGGTGAAACTATTGTTTCAAATTTTCCGTGTGATGTACGTGGGTGTTTTATTATTAATTTTCAAAAGGTATGTTCCGCACTGTTTCTGACCAAACTTTTGATGAAATAACAAACTTCAAATACTTTCAGGATGCTGTGATTTTTTTCAGTTCTGTAGGTTAACATTAACACTAGCAATAACTCATTAAAATTTACCTCTAAAATATGCCAAAATTTACGACTTGATTTCATTATCATCCGAAAACCGTTTTCCCCCGATGTTTTTCTTTAAGTTTCGAAACGAATAATAATCACTAAGGGTCAAGTCTGGACTGCACGGGGTGTGGTTTGTGCAGGTAAAGCGATTTTCGTCTGCACTAACCCTCGCAAAAAGCCAGGTATGAGGTGGCGCGTTGTCGTCTAAAAAAAGGCCAACTCTTTATTTTGACCCCACGTTTCTTTTCAACCGGAGGACGCAGCTCCTTCGGGGTTCCTGCATACACGGCCCCATTTATTGTAGTATTTCCAGCAATAAATTTTATAAGGAGGTGACCTTTGGTATCCTTGAAAATGGTCATCATCAATTTTTTGTCAGATTTTTGCACTTTTCAATTCACGGGCGGTGGCAACCCCTCGTGCTTCCATTGAGGGAATTATTATTTGGTCACCGGGTCATAATAGTAAACCCAAGTACCATATGCAGCTAATAAAATATTGAGCAGGTTCAAGTCTTCATTTAATAGGTTAAAATTGGCATTGCAAAAGTCGACTCGATCCTGTTTGTGAGATACCGAAAGCAATTTTGGTACCCAACGGACGGAAACCATTTTCATACCGAAGTCTTCAGTTAACATGGAACAAATTGCTAGCTTTGAAACACCCATCTCATCTGCTAAATAGGACAGTTTCAATTGCGGATCTCTCATTATTGGTTCCTCTAGTTTCCGGAGCCTTTCTGTGGAAGAAGCGGATTTTGAGCGTCCTGGCGACTTTTTGCCCGAGACCTCGTTTCGCCATCATTTAAAATTATTGACCCAATTGAATTTGTGTTTTGTGTTGGGCAGTTTTCATCGTAAGTTTTAAGCATTCAACCATAAATCTGCGACACGTAGTGCCCATCCAGCATTAAAAATTAAATTACACTACGACATTTAATTTGCAAATCTAGCATTTTTTCCGTCGAGGTAAAGTTTGCCGATTTATTGCTAGTGTTTATGTTAACCCACAGAGCTGAAAAAATCACAGCCTCCTAAATGTATTTGAAGTTTGTTACTTCATCAAAATTTTTGTCAGAAACAGTGCGGAACATACCTTTTGAAAATTAATAATAAAACACCTACGTACATATTTACATAATTTCACTCTTTTTTTACCTGAGATGTGGATTGATCCCCGTTCTGTCCACATAGCAACGCATGGAGAAAGATGACCAGGTGTTTCTTGATCAAGATTCGCTTCTCTGCACGTTCAGCTTCCGATTCGGTGGGGGCGGAGGGAGGCTGGGCGGGAGACGGGTTCATTTCGGGGGGTTGACACTAAAACCTGAACAGGTTACACTCTTAGAAATCCAGTATTAAGAAGGTACATATGCACATATGTTACTCTACTAAGGTGGTATTGATAAGTAACACCGTGTAGTATCTAAATCACTACCATTAATAGCTCGGTATTAAAGTTTTACCATATCGGTAGTAAATTTTTACGGACCGCTATATTTGGTGGCAACTTTAGTACCGGGAAATACCTAATTTTTAACAGTGCATACTAAAAGAACGTCACTGAAAATTACTTTTGCGGCCGCAATCGTTAAATGGACAGACGGATATTTCCGTAACCTATAAGCCTTGGGTCGGGCGTCGGGCTAAAAAAGTATACATACATTTAAAAAATCAAAAATGCGAATGTTTGTGTTTCAAACCCAGAAAAATGTTAAAGCTTTTTTCAAACTTGTTACTAATAAATTTCGGAGTTTAGATACGCACAAATTCAAAAAAGTCGTAAATATGTAGCATGCACTTTATACAGAATTCGACCAATCCATTCCGTTAAATTGAAAAGTAGTAAATTAGTCAGGTTTTATTTTGAGGACAAATCGTTACCAAAATTAAAAAAAGGTGAATGGTGGATAAAGAGAAGACCAGAGATGTTTCCAGATCTGTTACTTAACAAAATATATATATTTCCTTCACATGAGTAATCTCGCTTGGAATTGTAATTATTCGTAGCGACAGATGACTGAACTTTTTAACGATTTAATATTATTTATCTATATTCACTTTGCTTGTGAATGAGAAGAGAGATAAGGATTCGTATTGATGGATTTAAGAATTATTCATATCGCGGCGTGGTGACGGTAAGTTTCATGCCAGCTTCCTTTGTTGTTGTCTGCTTTATGCAAAATTTGCTGGCTTCGTATACATACCTATGTACAGTTAATAAAAGTATTATTTGGACATGATGAGCAGGTTTTTCAAATGCTCATATTTTTTCGGTTTCTTGGAAAGTTGGCCTTATTATTTTTTTGACTTGACACACAAGTATGTGGTTATCTAAATCCATAATCCTTTGACCAATATTTATTTTGAGACGGAAAATTTTAAGCATTTTCCAAGTAGAAGTGAAAAACTTACATCAAAGTATTATTTGGACACCGAGATTCTTTTGCAAGTTCGCCACAGTACACTACCTATCACATCACAATTTAAATGAATATTGCAAGGTCATGTATAAATGTTTACTCCAGCAGCCTTTCATGCATTATTCTCGTTTAGAGATCACCTGCCAATCATCATTACTAAAATACTCCGAGCTATAATTTAATGTTGGGAAATTATTATCCCAAACCATCAGAACTGTCTTCCAGAACCCATAATTGCTCAGAACATTATTCCGAAATATAGTACGGACCATTTAACACCCATTTGCGGTCTGAGAATGGATAAGTGGCGTTTAGGGTAGTCAACAAATCAGGAACAGGTAAATGCAGGCGAAAAAAACCATAATTGAAAGCTTCATTATTGTACAAGTTATGGCATATTTGACAACTTTCAATCTAGAATCCTAATGTAGACTTCTTCAACACGAATCTGTCGATTATTTCGAACTAACATGTCCCGACC